AATTCTATTATTCCTTAATCCAGCTTTTCTGTTCTTTGATTTCTCTTTTTTTCACTCAAGCCTAGACCCCGAGCCTCAGCCCTGATCAAAGCTCCAAATCTACAGACACTTGCTCTGAACCCCACAGGCCGCCAAGGGGGCCCTGCTCCCAATGGTTCAGAGCCAGTGTACACAGCGTTGGGTACTTACTTTCTTGTTCACTCTCCTTCCCTTGCACTGTAATGTCCTTTTAGGATTCAGGCCTCAGCTCCTCACTGGATTTCCTCTCCACAATGAATTTGCAGGGTAATTTTTTTTTTCCATTGGTCTGTTTATTCCCAATGTTTAAATCATCAGGCTCAAACTATGAATCACAGAGTTGACGCCCCTGGATTGTGGCTCTGAATTAGCTGTTAGAGAGCGGAGTGTGTCCTGGCTGTCTATCCGGGTCTTCACACCTGGCTTAGCTGTCCTGAAGCCCGTATTCTCCAAAGGTCCTTCTGTGGCTGCAGTATATCACTCAGGGCCCGGGGGCCTGCATGATCCAGGACACACAGGGGGCAGAACCTTGGGGCATCACGTGTCTACGTGGGCACTAATGCTCCACACTCTCTTCCATGAGGGTACTCCTGTGGGTGCTGCCTGAGACTTTGAGTCATGGGGTCTCCTCCCTTGGACTGCTAAAGACCAGATGTACCACTGGGATTGGCCTCAGTCCCACCTGACCCTGCCGTGGACAGCAGGTTCTTCTGCTGGTGATCTTTGGTCTCCTGGGAGTGGGGGAGTCCTGGAGTGCTTGGGGAATTCCCATCTCATTCCCTTTGCCTAAGGCCAGTTCTAAACGTTGCCCCATTCTCTTCTGGCCTCTGTCTCCTCCCACAGGACACAGGGAACCTGGAGTCAGCCAGAATCCTAGCTACCACATCACAGAGATGGGACAGAGTATAGCTCTGAGGTGTGAGAGCTACTCACTTGTGCTTCTCTTGGTATGGACAGACCCTGGAAAAGGGAGTGGAGTTTCTGATTTCCATCTATAACAAGCTTCCTTCAGAGAAAGGTGGCTTTTTGAAGCATCAATTCTCAGCTGAGATGCCTGATGGATTTTACTTCACTCTGAAGATCCAGCCTGCACAGCTGGGAGACTCAGCCGTGTACCTCTGTGCCAGCAGCTTAGCCACAGCCTCGCACAGGCACTTGTTGCTCTTGAACAAACTCAACAGCTTCCCTCCTCCCCCCAGGCTCTCAGCAGCCCTTTCCTGCCTGAGAGGGGTGAGGGGTCTGTGGTTGGGGCTGCAGCTGCTTCCTGGTAACAGAGGTCAAAAGTTAACTTTAATTTGAAGAATAGGAAATGTTGCACAGGGATATCTGGGGCTGTGGTGTTAGGGAAATGTTCTCAGGAACCACAGAATGTGGCTATGGACCCCAAGGATGGGACAAATGTGGCCAATGAATGATCAGGGTAGCCAGTAGAGGGCGTCTGTATCCCCTTCTGGTCTCTGTTTTTATTTCCTAGTTAGCAAAACATGCCTTCTATCTTCAAGTGGAGACTGCCTTACTGGAGAGGAGAGGAGGGCCTTACACGAGGATACTCAGGATCTTCAACTGGGAAATTTCCAGAAGGTGAAGAATCTCAATTTCAAAGCCTAAGTACTGGTGAGAAAGCAATGTTCTGGAACAATAGATGCCAGGGTCAGAAGCACCACAAGATTCTGCCACCCAGGACAAAGAGATTCTTTGGAACGATGGTTGCCTGTGTGAGTGTGAGCTCTTGGTTTTGGGGTGCCGCTGTAGGACCAGTAGGGATTCATGCCAACAAGAGGGTCACCACAGCAGGATAGACTGGGCTAGAACAGATGCCCATAGAGATCCACGTGGCAACAAGGAGTGAACTGTTCAATCTCAGCACAATGTGTGGAAACAGGACTGACTTCTCAGAAGCTAAGACCTGAAGGCTCTTGAACAAGTGGCTGGGAAGTTGATGTAGGGAATGCTTCACAAGGAAGATACAGGATTTCCTACTACAGTAGTCCCCCCTAATCTGTGGTTTTGCTTTCCACAGTTTCAGTTACCCACCATCAACCACGATCCAACAATATTAAATGGAAAATTCCAGAAATAAACAATTTGTAAATTTTAAATTGCCACCTTTTTGAGTAGTGTGTTGAAATGTTGGGCCATCCCCTTCTGTCCAGCCTACCTAGGACACGAATCATCCTTTTGTCCAGAATGTCCATCCTGGATACGCT